TTTTCATTCCCCATTTTATTTACCTCTACAGAGTATCGACTGCTGTCACAGTATGATACCATAAATATTGAGGCAATGGTATCAAAATCACATGTATTACTTATAACCACTCTACCCATATCCAATGTATTGCAACTTTTTATTTCACTAGCCCGTGAACCATTTTTCAAAATAGGAAGTGACTTTATCTTTCGGGAGTTGTTCAAATCTATATGGGATAAATATGGATTAGATGATAAATAAGAATTAAGTTTCCGTTGTTTTACCGATTTTCTATTCCATTCTTCTTCAGCGGAGTTTTCAGTACGATTTTTATTCGATGACGATTTATGACATAGTTCGTTATTTGAGGTCAAGACTTCATTAATATTTTTTTCATTAATTAAAATGTAGTCATCTTCGGAATTCTTTCTGGAAATAACACTTTCAGTGTTAGCTGTTATAATTTGGCTTTTTTGTAAACAGGAAGATATATTATTACAATCAATCTTTGGAACATTGTCAGTATCTGGATTAAAATATGTAGAGTTGTTACAAGCAGAACAAAAAAGTGAAGATCCTTGAAGTGAAAGTATATGGCGTTCTAAATAAATTTCATTATTTGTTGGAAGGGTGGTGTCCTTAAAGGTAACCGTTTTTAATTTTTTGAAACTAGATTCAACACTAGCAGAACTTGATGTAGGGTTCCCATACTTGAAAACCGGAATCAATCACTCCTGACCACAGAGGTAGCAAGCAAATTTACACATTTTATAATTAATGGTATTAACGATGGTAAATACATAGCATTTATCCCGCACCCTTCTTCTATTTTTTCTTGGCTTTTTTAAAAATGTCTTCGGCCCATTTTTGAAAGGATTTTTTTGTTATCAAGACCATCCACTTGAGATTTTCCTCGAGAAAATCTCGAACGTTATCAGTTGATTCAAAATTAGTCATTATGTTAGTATATTGTTGTTCAAATTCTATAAAGCCAGTAGATGTAATTTGTATTAAATTATTTTTATGTCGTTCACAGGGTGTGTCTTGTCCTGTGTTTATATTAACCCCGTCTGTTTCATTTGATAATACAATAAATAACGATAAGATAATTGAATACATTTCTGGTAGTGATTGACTCTTTATTATCAAACCTATACAACGCAGTATAACTTCTCTAACTCGTCTAGGTATAGTCTTCAGTGGAATCCATTTACTCGCCAACTTCATAAAGTGAGCTATATCGGTCCGAACAAAACAGTTTGGTAGCCAATGCGAGTCAGAATTTAGTTTTCCTAATGTTAATTCAGCACACACAACCAAGTATTGATGTAGTGAAGAATATTGAGTGAATGCTTGAACTATTGCTGACAGCAATGCCATAGATTGGTCACATACTGCTTCTTTAGGAAGAGGAACATCATTACTTATCCATTTTGCCAACCAATTGAATATAGCAAGAGTAGTATGTCGTTCGCTAATCATATTTGACACTGTGAAACTTTGTTTTTTTGTTTCATCATATACTAAAGCTTCATATAAGTATAAAATTTTAGTTTTATTCGTGCCTAGTTTTTGAAAACTTTTTACTACTGAACCGGTAGCGTCAATAATAATTTTTGGATATGGGGAACTTTTACAGTAGCTTCTATACACATGGATCTGTACTGGGGAATGGTAGTGAAGAAAAAAAGGGTCAAATCCCATATCATGCAATATTTCCTTAAATTCATTTTCCGTTTTCATAAGTGCTAGTGAAGTTAAAACGTCTTTGTGTCTATTTTTGTTACATAAATAACGCCATTTTAATGTACGTAGGGCATTCCCTGATGGTATTATTGCTGGTTCAGGATCACCTGTACATTAAAACATAATGATAGATAATTTCATTATAAATTTGATTTCAATCACAATAATTGTTTTAATAAATTGATGTTGTTTATTAATTATAAATTAAAACATCAGTTAAATTATGGTTGTAACTTGAGAGTGTAGGTACCTATATATTTTAATATTAAATATTAGTAGTTTTTAATTGTTAGTAAAACTAAAAAGATCTTTTAAATTATAATAAACTAACCAGTTTTCATAAGTCGCACACCTTCAATTTCTCCAAACGTCTCACTAGCTTTTCCATCATCTATGTTCTTTAGAGCAATATTTTTGACAAGTCCAATCATTCGTCGTTTTTTCACTTTGTTGTGGAGTTTTTCATAGTTACCCACATATTTACATTCCATAAGTACTCTGTAAATTTAGAATAAAAATAAAATATACTATAATTTCTTAAATTAAATTGTTAAAATTTTTTAGATTGAAATAATAAATTACCTGGAGTTGATTGCTGGCTTTTGAGATATTATTCCTTCAAAATTTGAATCACAAATTTTGCATTTTCCAATTACTTTTACATAAATATTTCCATTATCCATTACAGAAGCTCTTCGAAACGAAATGCAACAAGGCAAACTAGTATGGATCCAAAAATGCTCTGCTAGTATTGGTGTCCAGTAACCTTTACGAAGAGTGTAATAAGATCTGGCGCTCCTTATAGGACGACTGGGATCATTTATATTGTATTTTACTTCTTCAGGTTGTATTTCTTTCCATTCCTCAATAGAAAAAGTGAATACACATTTCAAACAGGGTAATAAAGTATCATCAATACTATCATCAGTGAAATCTATAATTCAACATTAAAATGAATTTAAAATATATTTTTTGTTCCCCAAAAATGTAAAAATAAACAAATATTCATAAATAGAAAGCCCATATAAAATGTATGAAGCAATGTTTTAAATATTAATCTAATATTTAGGAAAACTATAATTAGTTACCAATTACAAATTTTTTATCTAGCATTAACGACTTATACTGAAACATTTAATATCAAACATATGTCTTACTTTAGGAACAGTCGGAACAAGTAATTTATGATAAAATTTTAAAATATAAAGTTATCTTTTGCAATAAACTCATACAGTATATTAATTTATAGCTACCTAAATACCTAAATACAAATATAAATACAATAAAGTATTTCTGTGGTTACTAACAGTTGTTTTTAATAATCAGTCCCTATAAACTATGTATAGTTTTATATGCAAAAATAAGTAAGTACTCTATTTTTACCTAAACACCTTCAATTAGGTTCTTATATTCAACTATAAGATTTGTAATTATTAATTTTAAGTAGACAAATACTAAATATAATAATATTTGGCCCTACAACATAATATAGATAATTAAGTGATTAGGTAACTTACTATTGTAGTTATTAGTATGTATTACCTATATTAGTACAAATTAAAATTATAGATGCCTTTATTGATTTAAGTTATATATAAAAGATAAAGTAAAACTTTGATAATTATTTTAATCTTCGATCCCATTTGATATACCTACATATAAATTATAAAATGATCACCTATATGGGGCTGTATATTTGTTACGTTATAAACTTATAAAATAGCATACTAACATTGATTTTATAATAATAATAATAATATAGGTACCTAGTATAATTTATAGCAGGCATATAAATAATATTAATATTATACAATTAATTATACTATTATTGAATGAATAAGTATGAATTAGAATTTATTAAAACAATAATTAAAAACATTTTTAATTACTTAATTCATATAAAATACTATGAGTAAATTTATTAGTTAATTAGAAGAGTATAAGTAGGTAATATTTTGAACCATACAATTGTGTTTTTAATTTAACCAATAGGTACAAAATATATTAAATATAATATGAATAACGTATGATTTCATTATTTTATCACAATAGTATGCAAAATGCAATAGATCTTTGAAATATATATTGTGATTTAATATGGATATTTGTATTTAGTTAATACATTTATTTAAAATAGAAAAAAAAAGCAAACTAAAGATTTGATAATTACGACCAATTAAACACTTCCAAAAATATCAATACACCAAACACTATTTTACTACCCTTCTATACACATTTTTCATTAATCATTACTAACATATTTATTTACCTACTTTAGAAGAATTGTATAAAATAAATGGTACAAAAGAAATATATATATAGCTAGATTAATATACTATAAGATTTAGTATGTCTTATAATAATTAACACAATATGAAACTAATTAAGACTTATTATAAATCCTTGCGTTCAAAAAAATATTCGAAGATATGATAATATTAGATTTAATGATAATATTGCTATTAAAGTAATTTATTTTACTACCTATTAGTTTTTATTTTGTTATTTATATAACAAGACATTCCTAGCATCTGTAAGATATTCACATCTACAGATTATATTAAAAAAAACCCAGCCACCTCTTGTAATCATAGTATTATACGCTATTAATTAAACACATAAATTACCAGAATCAGTAGACATTTTTGACTGAATATCAAATTGATCAATATCTGATACATCATCTTGATATGAAACATCAGTTATTCCCAAAATAGTTTTAATGCCACGACGGCCTTGTTGAGCAAAAATATGTAACGCATTTTTACTCATGCGACCATCTAGATGCTTACTTATATCTTGCCCAGTGTTGCCAGACGTACGGATGCGGTTGGGGGCATACGGTAATTTTACAAATTATATGGTCTGAGGACGGAAGAATACAAACGATAAAAAAAAAATACGGTAATTTGAATTTCTTTTTAAATTTAAAAAAAACAATATGCAGTTGTAGTTACTTCTTCGTTGTACATCCAGAAAAACAGTGATACCCTACCAAAAAAAAAAATCTTTGAAAATTGAGGTATTTCCTTATCAATTGCGCATATCGATATAGTCGTATGGTAATAATTATACCATACACCATTATTTTCCCATCGTCTCCTCCATACGTTTTACGAAGTGTAGAAAAAATGCAGACCTCCATGCCTCCATCGTTATCACGGTTTAAAATATTTAAAAAAATGTTGTTCCTTTTTAAAGTTAAATGTTAACAGTAAACAGCTGCCATATACTTTACAACTGTAATTATAATATAATTATACTATTTAACCATGGCCAACTCAGAGGAAGAGATGGATATTGAGGTACGAGCACCCAGGGGAGAACAAACTAAAAACTTAAGCCATCGAAAACAAAAGTTTAGAGATGAATGGCTTAATATGAAAGAGTTCAAAAATTGGTTAAGACCTGTGAAGGAAAATCCATTAAAAGCTCATTGCTGTTATTGTCGTTTTGAAATGATTTCAGAACTCTCGACGGTAAAAAAACATATGAATAGTATCAAGCATAAATCAGCTACTAAATCAATAACTGGAACTAAAACCAATATGTTTTCTACAATAATTCCAAATAGAAATAATGACCAAGCTATTAAAAGAGCCGAAATAAAAATATGTGGGTTCTTAGCAGAGCATAACATATCTTTTAATACTATGGATCATTTGACAGACGTTTTAAAAGAAGCTTTTCCCGATTCTAAAATTGCTGAAGGTCTTCATCTCGGTAGAACAAAAAGTACCAACATAGTAAAACATGTTATTGGACAAAATCATAAAGATGAACTAATAAATGATCTTAAAAATACTAACTTCAGTATTATTATTGATGAGAGCACGGATGTAGGAACTGTTAAAACGTTATGTATATGTGTTCGCTATTTTGACCATAAAATTAATAAATTAAAATCAAAATTTTTTGATTTGGTTAAAGTATTCAAGGATAGTGATTCTGCGAATGAAGGAGCCACAGCAAACAAAATATACACTGAAGTTTTAAATGCATTAGCAAAAGAAAGTATACCCTTTGAAAATGTCATTGGTTTCGCATCGGATGGATGTAATGCAATGATGGGGCGATGTAATTCCGTTTCCAGTCGTTTTAAAGAAGATTTTCCCGGTATTATAATACAGAAATGTATTTGAAATTCTTTGGCGTTATGTGCAAGCGAAGCTTGTAAAGCCCTTCCACGCAGGTACCTACATTATATTATAAATTTATAAAATTATTATATTATGATTTTTTTTTTTTTAATTTTTGATATCAATTTTTTTTTAGATGTGAAGATCTCTCAAGAGATATTTATAATTTTTTTAAAAGTAGTTGTAAGCGAGTAATGCAGTTTGAACAGTTTCAAGTATTTTGTAATGTTGAGCCACATCGGATACTTAGGCCTTCCCAGACAAGATGGTTATCTCTTGAAATGGTTGTGAGAAGAATCAATGAACAGTGGGAACCTTTGACTAAATTCTTCCAAGAACATGGGTAAATAAAATTTTATAATTTATTATTATTTCTAATTTAAATAACAAAAGTTTTAAATTTTGTTTAAATTGTAGAAATGAAGAACGACTTGCATGCACTGTTACAATACTTGACCGTTTAACTGATCCAGTCATTAAGTTGTTTTATGAATTCCTGGAATGGGTCTTACCAAAGTTTACCCATCTAAATAAACTCTTTCAAAGTGAAAAAGGCGTTATTCTTACATTGCATTCCAAAATGGCTGTAACCTATACAGGTATTTGTTATTGCAAATAACATTAAATGTTTTAATTTATTTGAATACTAAAATCTAAATTTAAAAATTTTAGAGCTGATACATGCGTACATGAAAAAGCAACACAAACCACTAGAAATAGATCCCAATGATAGTACTCAGTTTTTGGTAAATGAAGCCATGTATTTAGGATTTAAAGTAATGAAGACATTGAGTAAACCAGAAATAAATTCAAATAAGCCTATGTTGATAGAGTTTTATACTAAATGTAGACAATTTTTAATAATTTCTTGTAAAGAAATAAAAAAAAGGTAAGAACAAATAAAAATTAAATAATATATTTACTATAAATGTTATATGCTTTGAATTTATTACTACTGTTGTAAACATTTTTTTCCTAGGTTTGATTTTAACAGTGAATTACTTAAACAGTTGACTTATTAACAACCCTGTAAAGTATTAAGTTCCGAACGCTTGAATACTTTAAGTTCAATCTTTTTTGAAGTTCCAAGAATAACACAGCTATACAATGATGAAACACTTCAAAAAGTGGACGATGAATGGCGGATGTTAGCAGTTGCAGAACTGAATGAAAATATCAGGAAGATTCAATACGGAGAAGATTTTTGGATTGCATTACTTAGTATGGACTCTGAAGGTGAAAATCTATTTAAAAATGTCGCTGGTTTTATATTAAAAGTTCTGAGCCTACCTCACTCTTCAGTTGACTGCGAGAGGGTGTTTTCAAAAATAAATTTAATAAAAACCAAAGTTAGGAATAAACTAAATACCGAAACAATGAATAGTTTGCTCTTAGCAAGTGAACACATGAAACAAAGCACAAGTTGTGTTAAATTTGAACCAACAAAAGCAATGATAAACTCAATGACCAAACATATTTATGAAAAACAAGGAATTACCAATGAAACAGACATTCAAGGTAATTTAGACATTTTACCAAAAGAAAATATTGGACTATTTTTATGATCTATATTATGTAATAATATAATATAATAAGTAAACTTTTATCTTTTTTCTTCATAATATATTTAAATTTTGTTGTTTTATGAATATCATATTTAATCAATTGTTATGCTATTATTTAAATTTGTTGTTATTGTTATACAGTATAAGATGTAGGTAGGTACCACACTTATACATCAAGTTTTTATTGTTATTAATATTGTTTATTTTATGTTTTAAAAAAGATTGATTAGTATTAACTATTAATATGTATGAAAGTGATCAATAAAAATACAGTTGTTTTTAAATAAGTACAAATATATAACTAATGTGATAAGTAAATTATTAATATTTTTCTCATAATATATTTAAATTTTGTTGTTTTATAATTATCATATTTAATTAATTGTTATAATGTTATGCTATTATTTAAATTTGTTGTTTTTGTTATACAGTGTAAGATGTAGGTACTACACTTATACATCAAGTTTTTATTGTTATTAATATTGTTTATTTTATGTTTAAAAAAAGATTGATTAGTATTAACTATTAATATGTATGAAAGTGATCAATAAAAATACAGTTGTTTTTAAATAAGTATAAATATTAGGTAAAAATATTTCTTTTAAATTAATTAAATTCTATAAGATGTTTACTATTCATAAATATGTCTATAAAGTGAGTTCAAATATATATTCTGATGTATGTTATATTATGTTACTTGTTGTAAATATATTATAATAAACATACATATTAGTAAACATGGTACTTCGATTCTTTGATTGTGTAAAATAGAAATGGCATTTTAAGGTTTGTAATGCATTGTTTGGCGAAAAAAAAATATACGGTAATTATACATCTGATACGGAAATCATAATCGTTTCACCCCAACCGCAGGCATTATAGATCTGGCAACACTGATCTTGCCATACAGAATCAGTAGCAGCTCTAATTTCTGAAATGAATCCACGTAGGTTTGACTTGATTAATAATACTAGATTTTTAAATAAAAGAAGTATTTACAAAGATACCTACAACGTAATTAGGTATACTTAATTCTTTTGCCATCATCATCAGTGTATAAAACATGATCTTTAAAGTGTGAAATTGCTTCAATTACAATTGATGATGCTACAGCCGGTGTTCTACCCATATTATTGATAAATTAAAAAAAATAAAAATGAAGACAAGATATTGAGTTTAAATAAAATATGAATAATAGATCCTTCAAATCAATCTTAAAATCATGCGTTTGTGATGACATACGAGAGCCTAATAATATAATTGATTGGGTTAAATGCGGTTTAAATGAGTATTATAGAACAATATATTTTGTAAACTTACAATTAATAGTTCCAACACAACAAAGTTATTTTTAAATAGGGATAACAACGATATATCGATATTTACCATAACTGATAAGTGATAATATGATAATATTACAATTAACAACATTTCCCGCATAAATTTAAATATTTTGGAATAATAATATAATAAAATTATTATTATTATTTTTTTTTTTAATTGATCGTAAGCCCGTTAACTTTGGCCATTAGTTGTATGGTTTTTTGAACGTTGTATTGTCAGTAGGGGGGGACACGTGTGTATATTATTTATTGTAAATAATCATAGGTTCCAAATGTTATTGCATAATCTACGAATATTATACTATAGATTTGTATAGTATGAAAACTTTGTTTTTTTGTGTTAGTTGAATTACAATATGAATTTGTTTGTTATGGCATTAAATATATTGTTATTAAACTTAGAATTGCCAGTGGTATTTATACTGCTACATTTTAAGGCAACATTTTATTGATGTCTAGATGTTGAGTAATATGATTACATTGGGAATCACGGACTTTTTTTTAGTCACCTACTATTTTTTAGATTCTGAGCGGAGCGATGAATGTATTGGTTTTACAATGATGTATGTTTTTATATTTTTTTTATATTTTAGATTCTGAGCGGAGCTATGAATGTATTGGTTTTACAATGATGTATGTTTTTTTTTATATTTTTATATTTTTGTGTCTGTCATCACGTTTTAGGACAGTAAAAGCGCTTGGATTTTCTTCATCAGTAGCTTTTCTGATAGGAAAGTGAATCTAGTTGGTACATTGGGGGGTCAAAAGTATAAATTTCCCAGTAGTTTTCACAAGCGCCGGGAAAAAACCACATAAAAATTAAGGAAAAACGGGAATTTTTACGCAAAATTGGTTTTCCAAAAAATCGATTTTGGTTATTGGTGTAACTCTAAAACAAATGAACGTATATACATGAAATGTTCACTGGTTGTTTATAATTGCATTTTCTATACACGATAACATTTTCAAAATATTTTGATTTATTTTGAACTGTTTAGGGACATTATCATTTTCGTTTTTTTTTTTAGTTTTTTTTCTAAAAATATCAATAAAATTTTGTTGGTTGCGAAAACTTGAAAATTTAATAGAAGGCTCCTAATATGTTGTTTCCAAGTCAGATGAAAAATATTAAAAATCCTTAGTCACAATTTTTTTTTTATAAGCATTTAAAGTTCAAAAATTGACAAAATATGGAAAAATCACGAAAATTAGCAAATTATTTTGAGTTAAGAATTCGTAAAAATTTTTCTTTTTAAATCTAAGATTTGAAAATGAAACACAAGATTCCTTATAAGATTATCTACCTTTATCAATAAAAAAATCTCTACCGGACAGTCAAATTAAATTTTTATGAGCGTTTGAAATTCAAATTTTTACAACATTGGATTTTCACTCGATTTCTCATGTAGCGATTTCCTTATTTTGTTGTAATTCAAAAACGAATAACTGTAGATACATGAAAATTTCACTGAATGTTTATATTAGCATTTCCTATACACCATACAATTTTGAAATATTTTGACTCTTTTTGAGCTGTTTACGGACATTTTCAGTTTTAAATTTTTTTAGTTTTTTTTTTTATAATTGTCAATAAAATTTTATTTGGTGGGCCAAAAAGTCTGAAAATTTAATACAAGCTTTCTTATATATTGTTACAATATCAGTTGAAAAATTTTAAAAATACATAGGCACGATTTTTTTTTATAAGCATTTAAAGTTGGAATTTTGACAAAATTTATCAAAATCTCGAAAATTATCAATCGTTGGAATTAAAAAATTATAAAATGTTCAGTTTTTATAACTAAGAGTTGAAAATTTAAAACAAAGATTCTCTTAAATAATTCATACTGTAACCAAAAAATCTAAAAAATATATAAACACACTTATTTTTTACAGACATTTTAATTTCAAATTTAGACAAAATTTCATATTTAAACCAAGAATTACGATTTTAGTTATTTTGTTGTGATTGTATAATATTATTCGTGGGTACTTGAAATTTCTAAAGTAATCTAATATATATCTATGATAGTATCAGGGTTTGTTGTTGGTGTATAACGCGTTATAAGTACCTAATGGATATTGTGATATGATTAATTTGGAATTTATCATAGGTACCTATTATAGGTCAAATTTTGGTTTAGTACCTACCATATATATGTATATAATATGTCTTATACCTAGAAGGACATACCGTCTCCGCTCAGAATCGTTTTTCTTATACAATGATATTATATCATTGAATTCAAATTTAATACCATCCATTATACAATGACCCACTTGTATCCTACTGTACAGCAGAGCGACACCCACTTGCCCACCTTTTTTTTTTTAATGTTTATTACTTGAGTGTGTAAATATAGTTACTATATATTTTGAAATAAATGTTTACATATAACTAATTTCTGATAGATAGTGGATGTTTATTTTTGCTGTGCTCATTAAAAAGCTACGGGTGGCTGAATGTCCTACCATAAAAGCTGCACTTAGACACGCTTTTCTACGTGCCACCTTAGGGAATTTTTACTATAGTATGTTTTTACATATTTCACAGATATGGGGAAGGGCGCCCCCAGGTTTTGTAGAGGTTTCCACGGATGTGCCGAGATCTGCAGCGGCGCTGGTGGGTTCTTCCGAGATATATAACTTCTGTGGCATTGAGTTGCATGGAAGTAAATGGTTCTGCGGCGTTGGATTTTTCAGCGGAATTCGCGCCATTGATGGAGTCTCCAATAATTTTTAAGGTGTTTGTTATAGTTTAGCCACTGCTAATAATATGACTTGCAGATTTTTCGATTTTATTTGCTACCTCGATTATTTTTCTGTATTAAATTAAAATAAAATATTATTTAAATCTCCATGTTTATTTAACTAGCTGTACTACCCGGTTAGGCCTATTTGGAACAATATTTGTCAAGACATTATTTTAAACCTACAACCGTATCACAAACTGAAAAATAATGTTTGTCTGTTAATAATCTTCAAACTATACAGGTCTTTAAAAAACCTATTCGTCTCAGAAGAAGCAGAAGTAGCATGACTATGACTTGACTTTTGTCTAAATCGGGTACAGGAACTTGAACTGTAACTTAAACACCTGCCAGTTAATGATTTTTTTCTGACCATGTTTATCTGTAATGTTTAGTATATTCTACACTTCCAACTTGAGGTTCAGTATTCCATGTAATTATTAGGTATATAAATTGTATGTATTTCTTTCTAATTATTGTTGGTATTTTGTAGAAGGTTTAGGCTTTTTATAGGATTTTTACGGATTCTACCCTTAATTTATTTATTAATGCCGAGGGAACTTTAAAGTTCGCTCCAATTCGTTCTCAATTCGTTCCATATATTGATGGTAACATTCCAACATAAAACTTGTATTTTCATCTGTCCAAGCACTTTTTAAAACAGGTGTTGTAATATTCTCTGTAAACACAATATAATGTTTATTTTAAATATTTATAAATATATATTATTATTTATTAAATAGAACATAACAAGAGATAATATTATGACCAAATAAGCCAATATTTTAATCCCCTCTGTTCACAGAACACTTTTCCAGTTGAAGAATAGTCACAGAAGTCAAACATATATATACATAATGTAAAATAAAAACTTGTTAACAGCAATGCATTACTTAGCAAGTTATTATTACTTTATTTACTGTTTTGAGCCACGGACTTATTGAAGCATTACACAATTATAAGAATATTAAGTTTCAAAATAACTTACACAGATATTTCTATAGTTAATTCATTACTTATTCAATAATAATATATTAATTATTAGTTATTACCTTTGTAAATCTGCGACTTCAATATCGTCTATTTTATGAGATCTATACCAGTAGCACAAAATAAAAGTAATATATATATTAAAATATTTTTTAAATTGGAGGAAATATTAATTACTCAATATTACTTTTTTGTAGTGTCGGCGCGTTTGCAAACATGATGTGTACTTGTATCAAAAATTTGAAAGCATTTAGGACAAACCTATACAATGTAAAGAAATAAAAATATTAGTAACTATTGTCGTAAACAAGAAATAAAAATGCATTGTGATTGTCAATGAAATTAAATTCAAGAGCCCCAGCAAGATGGATACAAAAAACTATACATTAATCCTTTTTCAGTACGAGAGTACCTACACCAACTATTTAAATTATACACTAGGTATGCACCTCTAAATGATTCCATAATAGGCTTTATGCATTTATGTGACATATAAAGCTCTGATATATCATAATAAATTAATTGGGATAGATAATTTATAATAATTTAATACTCTACCTACTTATGAAAACTACTTACGTCAAATGTTTGAACATCGGAATCGGACGACATTCTAGCAAATACTGTTTGATTGTTGTAACTTGTAAGCACGTACTACATAGGACTGGATACTCCGGGCAGGGGGAGGGTGGGACACCGGTCACAAAATGTACGGGTATGTACGTTTGCGACTGTGATGCTATCTAGTGACGTACTAGATTTTCTACATTTCGAATTTTACTTTTATAAACATAATATTTATATATAGACTTATGAAATATGAAAAAAAAATAAATAAATCGATTAACATAAATATTTCTATGAGTTTGTTGTATCTTATTAATCTTATTAATATTGTTATACATCATTACATCATACATCCATACATTATTATTACATTATTTAATATGGGTCGCTTGTGCTCGGTATTAATATGTGACAGTAGAGTCAATAAAAGTAATTATAATGAAAATATTACTCTATTTTCAATACCCAAGGATGAATCTATCCGTGAATCATGGACAAGTATTGTTAACCATTGGAATGGTAACAACCAAAATGTTTCATACTTATGTCATAAACATTTTGATGATGAGGAAATCATTAAGACATTTGAAGGGCAAAGTAGTGATAGTCATCAGGTAAATAATTAATAATTATAACAGAAAATCTCCAGGTTTAGAAAATTATTAATTATTAATCAATATTAAAATGAATCATATCTTCTTCTTCTTAACTCTTTAAGAGCTAGATAGATACTTGAAAGTACATTAAATTGGCTTAATATGTGGGAGCAAAATTTAATTAATAAACAAATTACAAAAGATCAATATTTAACAACAACAACAGCAGAGGGTCTTAGAGTTACAATACAATCAACTATTGATCTATTCATGTATTTATTAAAGAATTGTAATTTTTCATATGTGCTTACTAATAAATATGATCAGGACAAAATTGAGGTAAGCTATGTACAATATCTAAGTGGCAAGTATAATACATTCAGAAAGTGATATTTTTTGTTTTAGCAATTTTATGGAACCGTACGTCAGGTTACTGGTCCTAACGATCATCACTCTTGTCCAACATTCCTACAAGTATATCATATGCTTTCAACTTATTCTATTCTCAAACCTCCTAAGACTGGGAACGGTACAATATTGAAAACCTCAGATATAAGACCCCATATATGATGACGTTTTTGCTGAACATAACCATCATATAGTTTCAACAAGAGACTCAATTACATATTATATATGTGGTTGTTTACTTCGACAAATTATAAAACTAACTACTTGTGATATTTGTTTATCAGCATTTAAAGAAGGTAAAAATAATAATATTACAAAACAATGAAACTTTCTGATTTGTATAATTTTTTAGGGGACAGATCAATACCTGAGGCATCAATGACTAACATAAAATCTAGAGGAGGATTAATTTTTCCCAATAGGAAAATATTTGGAATTATAATAGGTTTAGAGGAAGCATTTGAAAAATGTTGTGATAGCTATGAAGTATTTAAAGAAACTGTTGATTTTTTCTTGGAAAACAACCAACATCTTCTAGCATTTCCATGTGCTGATCACAAAAATGACATTTTTTTATTTATAATTACTTATTATATTACCATGAGAATGAGACAATACTCACGTATATCTAATCAAAAGCAAGTTAGAAATCACGCAAAAAAAAAACTTTCCAAATTGGTAGCAACATAGTAACTTTATACGCATTCATTTATTTAGAAATAATAGTGAATATAAAAAGTTTGTCGTTTATTTTATTTTTTGAATTTTTGATCGTTGTTCAGTTATCACTAGTGACTAGTCACGACTTATTACATAAAATAATTTACAACAGTACAGTATAAAAAAAATGCCACCAGAGAGCAGCTACATAGCGAAAGTACGACCACCGTACAACTTTGCAGCCATCTTATTTTATACAGTGTCCAGTCCTATGTAGTAGTTCGTGCTTGTAAGTATTTATTCTGCAAACAAAATATAAAAAAATTTACAATTGTACTAATTATTAAAATGTTATTTAAATTATACCATTGCTATAAATAGTATTCATAATCAATAATTATACCTATTTTATTATCATAACTTGCGGTGAGATATGAACACTTTCAAAATCCGGTAAATTGTATTTCTTTCCATGTCAACATACTTTGTTTTCCATGATTACACTTCATTGTATTCGATTTATTAAAAACTAGTGGAACAATTGCGTAGTGCTAGTGGAAGTTCAGTGCACACTTTTTTGTCAAATCGAAAACGCTATTAGTCCGTGATTTTATCTAAAGCAGTGCTGTTAGATATGTAATTGATAACTCGATGTCTATTGAGTAGATTGTAGATAGATACTAGAGGTTGCCTCGATAACAAATTTAACAAAGCAATTAGCTTATCGTAGACATGGCACTACGCGACGGCGACCTTTCCCTTCGTATCCAAACACCACTCCGTCATTAATTAATTTTATTATTATTATTCAAAATTATTATATTTATTTATTATCTTTGTTATTATTTCTCGTGTGAATAATTATTGGTCATCTGTTACCACATATTATTATCAATTATTCGTATCATTTGTGTTATGATTTATATTATTTACTGTTGCGGCCAATAAAGACTGTATTGAGCCCCTATTAATCTAACTGGTCCCAAATTCTCACATTGTATTCCCCTGCCACTTTCATAAGGCCCATATGAAAAGTACTCTGATGTATTTATTTCGTCAGATTCGACAGTATTGACTAGAAAACACGTCACCATCACCGATCTAAAAGTACAAATTATAATTATATTAAAACTAAGCTATTTATATATTTTTTTCCTAGAAGCACCTATCATAATCTAATTTATGTTATTATATTTATTATATTTTTTAATTAGATATTTTATGCGATATTTGCATATTTTTTTTTTAGATCGAATATATATAATCGTTATAATTGTAACGTGGTTCAGGTTTGGCCTTCAAGTTAATCGGTACTTCCAATGTACGTCCGTAAACTAATGCATATGGTTGAAAATTAGTAGATGTATGTACTGTCGAATTATATACGAAGAATGCAAAGAGAAATAAATGATCAAAATTATTTAAATTCTTATCTACATAATGTCGTAAATACTCGGCTAGCGTCCTATGAGCGCGTTCCAGGAGGTGGACACTTTTGGGCGGCGGGCCGATAAGAGAGAATCAGTCGGCCATGACACCGAAGGTCTACAGTGTGTACATTTTTACGTTTTTATATATGTTCACACTGAGTATAGTAATGATAAGTACGACGTTTTTACGTTATCGTGTTTTTTTATTGAAAAAATGGGTTCCACTTTTTTTTTCAGTGAAAACTGGTCAAACTGTTCGGTTGAACTGGCCCTACTGTATGCCTCCGGTGTCATGGCTGACTGTCTCAAGTAATTGTCCAATGCTGCCTATATAAACTGTTA